GCTCTGAGCCCCTCCTCCCCGCCATGTGGGCGGGCTGCCCTTGGACGGACAGACAGCGGGCTGTTCTCGGGAGCTCAGGACAAGGGAGTCGCACCCAGAAGCGGCGCTCGCTCGAGGAGACCCACCGTTCCCTCAGAAAGGCCGCGCTGCCCCTGCTGCCCCTTCGTCAGACGGCAGGGAAGCTGCTCACCCCCCACGAGCCCACCCCAGGGTCACCTGAAGGGAAGGGCCCGGGAGGGAGCACACAGCAGCCCAGACACCCCCCTGGAGGGACCCTGGGCCAGGAGGACCCTGGAGACACCAGCACAGGTACTTCCTGTCATTGCGGGGACGCAGAACCACAGGCTGCCACCCCAGCAAGGAAGTTTCACAGAGCACATCCCGAGAAACGGGAAAGAACTGGAAGTTTGGGCAGATCGTGGTGAAAACAGCCAAGAGGACTCCGCTCGTGCGGGGCCTCACTGAACTGGAACTTCGGGTGCGTCCTTCACACCCCATAATTAGGCCTCGAATACTCCCCAGGAGCAGGGACACACTCGGGTGCGTGAGCACGGAAGCTGTGTGGTGTGGTCTGGGACACAGACCGTCAGGAGAAGCCCCCCCGAAGAGGCTCCCTCTGGCGCTGGGCTGGGCTGGGCGCCCCATGCCCAGGTTCCAACCCAAACAGGGACACAGGAAGCTCCTCCCCAGCGCTGGGGCCAGCCTGAGTCACTGTCCAGAGGGCAGGACTCTGTGTCCCCCCCCAGGGCACCCGAGTCTTTGGGGCTCTGCCCCTGCTCCCCTGCAGGCGAGGGTCAACTAGGGCCAGCCCTGGGGTGGGTACGTGCCCACCGCAGAAGGGTGGGAGGAGCCGACGAAAGCCGCATCCGAAAGCCACCTTCGCCAAGGCGCCTCCAAAGGCTGGTCCTTCCACCCCGACCTGCTCGGCCCTGCACGTGGGGCAGAGCTCAGCGTCAGGCACCACAGGACCTGGGAAGGGCCGTGAGGGTGACTGGGACGCAGAACTCATTCTCGGTGCAGTGCCTGGACTCAGAAGCCACCCAGGGGCACCCAGAGATGCAGGAGCGTCCTCCTGGGGCAGGCGGGCCTGGGGAGGCTGGTGGGGCAGGCAGGGCCCAGAGAAGGAGAGGTGGGGATCCTCCCTAGCAACCGCGCGGCCAAGGCCAACAGAGCAGGCCCAGTCTGAAACGTTACATTGTTTCTCCTCCTACCCAGCTGCTTATGCCAACAGCCCAGCCACCGCAGCAGCGTGAGAAGTGCAGTAAACACCTTCATGCTACCTGCCCACGAGGAGGGCGGGGCAGGGCCCGCTCCAGGCAAGGTGCCCCTGCAGAAGCCGTGAGACCACAGCACACTTGGCACCACCCAAGGGCACTGGCAAGGTCGTGCAAACAGTCTGGCTCCCAAGTGCACAATGAGACGACACACAATGGGCTTCCGTAGCTCCCCTGTCCGGCTCCACGTCAGCTGAGGCTCCGGAGAGGAAGGTTTCCGTCAGCCGCACCAGCTGAGGACAGAGGCGTGCACGCCGCAGCCACCCAGGGCCCCGCCCTGCTACCCTCCGCGCCCTGCAGAAGCACACGGGGCCAGGGGTATGCGGCACACACGTGCAATATGCATGTCTTTACTGCACACATGCGTGGTGTGTCTTATCACACGTGTGTGGTGTGCGCCCTACTGCGCACATCTGTGATGTGCCCACATACACATGTGTGCTGTGTGCCTGCAACATATGTGCGTGACGTGCTTATATTGCACAGGACGCACAGGTCTGGATCATACTCGTGTGCTGTGTCTACTACACACGGGTGGTGTGTGCCCGTGTGACATCTGCATCATGCATGCGTGGTGAGCAACTCTACTGTACATGCGTGTGGTGTGCGTCTAAAACACACGAGTCCGTATCACACAGGCCTATGATCTGTGTCTGTATGACACATGTGCGATTTGCATTCCTGTATCACACACACTAGCCATGTCTGTATTACTCATGAGTGTGATCTGTGTGTAGCGTACTTGTGTCACGCATCACACGTCACACATGTGTGATGTGTTTGTATCACACCGGCGTGTGGCATGTCCATATTACACATGCAAGATATGTTTGCTACGTGTGATGGGCATGCCTCTATTCCATGTGTGATGTGCACCTGCTACTCATGTGTGCGATCTGTGTCCATAATCGCTTGAAATTCCGGTATCTTCTTGATCAAGGGTGTGGTCAGTCCCTGACGGGGCGGCTTGACCTGTTTCTGTGATTTTTCATCCTCTCAATGAATAACATGGTGGCTTTGCCCTGAGCTTCTTCCTCATAGTTCTGCGGATGGTACCAGGAGCAAAACCAGGGCAGCCGCCCTCGGGCCAGTGGGGGCTCTACTGGGCCTATCCTTGACCCTTTTCCTCAAACTTAACAATTATACAGCTGCACTGTGGATCAAAGATAATATGAGTGAGCAAAGTTATGTTTCATTTGAAACTTGCTGGTAGTCACTTTTTTTTCTTTTTGGGTCACACCCAAAAAGAGTTACTCCTGGCTCTGCACTCAGGAATTACTCCTGGCAGTGCTCGGGGGGTGGGGGGGACCATATGGGATGCTGGGAATCGAACCCGGCTCAGCCACGTGCAAGACAAACGCCCTACCCGCTGTGCTATCACTCCAGCCCCTGGTAGTCACATTTTTAAAAGAAAACCTTAACAGGCGAAATTAACACTTTCTTGCGTCATTTTATGTTATAATCGTATATTATTCTGTTTACATTATTTGATGTAAGTTCTTTGAAACGTAACATAGTAGTACAAATGCATTAGTACATGTCACTTGGATTCCAAGCGATCGTCAGATCTCATAAAACAGTAAGTTCATATAACAAACTGCTCCAATGAAACATAAACATTTCCCAAACCCCGTCAAGGACCAGAATCAAAGAACTCTTTGCTTTAAAACTGAACTAATCAAAGCCGGGAGCAGAGAGGCAGAGCGGGCAGGTCCCGGGTCCATTCCCAGTGTCCTGAGCCCTGAGCACAGAACCAGGAGTGAGCTCCGCCAGGTGTAGCCCCCTCCACAAACAAACAAAAAGATGTAAGAAGCCAATCAAAATTAAAGTCAGGTATGAATGCAGGTCCCGGTGAGCAAGGCCACTGCTCCGATGCCCCCGACCCGCAGACCACACGCCACACTCCAGTCGAATTTAAATATTTTGAATTTAGATATTCTGCCTCAATGAGCCCCTTTGTCTAAGTGCTCTCCTCCAAGCTCTCCTTGAGCGCCAAGTGCACTGGGTCACCCTGGGGTGGGGCTGCGGCGTCCCCACCTCACTGCCAAACCCTGGGCACAGGCCCCCGTCCCCTGCAGGCAAGCCCGCCCCCACTGCCTGGCACCGAGGTGGGCTGCCGGCTGCGGCCTCCCAGCGCCCGCCTGTTGCCACCCTCGCCTTGGTCTGGAGCTGAACTCGCGCGGAACCAGGAAGAGGAAGAGGTGCGTGTGGCGGGCAAGCCCCATCTTGCCGCGGGCAGTCCCACCCAGGCTCCCGGACAGAGCGGGCGGTGGGTTCCGGTTCTGCCACTTGCTGCCTGCCGGACTGGGGAGGTTATTTCATCTTCCTGCATCTCCTCTGTGAAATGGCCACGTAACAACAGAACCGACATCAAAGGTGGTCCCGAGGCCCGGATGGGCTACTGCAGGCCTGGACCGACTGCCTCGATGGGCAGCAGGCCCTGGACGCCGTGTCCACCGCGAATGCCGCTTCGCTCAGAGACCAGGGCCCAGGCTCCACAAACATCCGGGGGATGTGGAGCCCCTCGTCCAGCACTGCACAGCCTGTCCCTGCGGACAGTGGCCACCTCCACCCCCACCCAGCGGGCGCTCCCACACTGAGGGCTACAAGGCTGTTCCCACCAGACCCACACCCGGATGCGTCTCAGCCCGCGGACAGCGTGGGCCTGGGGCTGCATCACTCTGCGGCTGACTCCAGGGGCAGCACCTGCCCCCTCCGCCCAGGAGGCCTGAGAGCAGGTGCATGGCCCCCGTCCTGCCTGTCGGTGCAGCGTGCCTGGCATCCTCCCCCTGCTAGACACAAGTGCCTGCTTCTCTGCGGATGGGTGTGTCCCGGCCCAGCCTCAGTGGTGATGGGCTGACGCTTCTCCTTCCCTGCCTGGCCCATCTGCCTGCCGGGGCCCAGGCCGGCCTTCAAGTGCACAGCCCAGGGAGGCCGGGCCACCATCAGCCAACAGCTGGCCCGGGGCGGGCAGGTTCTCCGACGCTGCAAGGGAGCTGCACCCAGAGAGGCCACCAGGGAGGGTTTGGGGCCCTGCGGCCAGCCCCTGTGGGCTGGAAACTGGCCCCGGGGCCTCGGAACACCTCAACCGTGGGCTCGGTCCATTGAGGAAAGGACGGGTGTGACCCTGCTCCCCTGTGCCACCCTGATGTGTCACCAGGATCGCTAGAGAGGGTGACAGCTTGGGTTTCTAAAGAACTTTCCAGAAGGACTAAAGGGCGGAGGATAATTCAAACCCTTTCTGATTTCTGGGAGGGCACTTCCCGGTGCGGGCGGTGCGGGGATGATGAGGCGATTTTCCCCTCGGTGTGGGCGAGGCCCCGGTGCAGCGGGGCGGGGTCGGGCGGGGGTCCGGGCACGACCCGGCTGGGCGCGGCGAGCGAGCGAGCGTGCAAATAGGTGCATGCGCGTGCAAGAGAGACGGAGAGACAGGAGGGAGGGCGGGAGGGCGGGGAGCCGCAGGGAGCTCCGGCCCGCGGCCCCGCGCACCTGGCCCGGCCCGGCGCGCTCAGGCGGGTGCGGGGCGCGGCCTGGCACTGCGCGCGGGGGTCGGGGAGGCGGGTGGTCCGCGCTGCTGCCCCGACCCCGCCGGGCCCCGCCGGCCCGCCCGGAGCCCCCCGGAGCCCCAGACCCCCGGACCCCGGACCCCACCCGGGCCGCGCGCGCAGCCCGACACAAAGCCCGCGCGCCCCCGGCCCGCGCGCCCCGCGCCCCCCGCGCGCTCACCTGACGGCCACCCGCACCGAGCTCTCGTCCGCGGAGCCCCACATCCCGGCCGCTCAGCTCCGCGCCATGTCGGCGCCGCTCGGCCCGCCTCTCGCGGGGCGGGGACTGGGCCGGGCCGGGCCTGCTGAGGTCACAGTCCGCACCGCGCCCCCACGCGCGCCCCGGGCAGCAGCGCCGGGGACAGGGGGTCCCGGGCGGGCCGCGCGCAAACGCCGGGGCAGCGGGACCCTCAGCCCCGGGGTCCCGCGGGAGGCCGCGGGCGTCCACACCCCCGCGTGGGGTCCCTCCCCCTGGGCCCCTCCGCGCTGCAGAGGCCCCGGGGGAGACTCCTGCGGGGGGCACCTGCCCCGCGCGCACAGCCGGCTCCACGCGGGAGGCGCGGGGCACCGCCGCACCGGCCTCTGACCACTGCTCGGCTCGTGCGGCCCAAGACCCAAAGCCTGATCGGCACCAGAGCCCCTGGGTGTTCTGTCCTGGGGCCACCACCCGAGGGGCCCTTCGGGCTGGCGCGTGCCAAGGACCTGGACGCGTGCAAGGCCGGGCCTGAGCCGCGGACCTCCCTGGGCAAGGCACTGACGCCAGGGGTGGACCGTGCTGGAAAGCGGCTCCTGTGTGGGGTGCCCACCCCGGACACCTTCCCCAGCTGTGGATGGCCTGGAAGGAGCCCCCCTCGCCCCCTCTGCCATGTACAGCCCCGAGCAGCCGCCTCTCACCTGTGCCCTGTGACCCCCGCCAGCCCCTGTGCAGCCGGGCCCCTCTGTGCTCACAAGCTCACAAGCCCCCCCACCCAAAGGCAGACCTGGAGACCCCCAGTTCCTCCCATCCCACCATCCGCCTCTCCTGAGACCCACTTCAATGCGGCAGAGAGGCAGAGAGAACTCCCGCGCGGGGCTTGGAGGCAGCCAGGGCTAACCATCCAGCTACCTGGCCCTGGCCGGCTCTGGCCGTCACCTCTGCCAGTCCTGATCTCGCTTTGGTCCGGGAGCTCCTCCTTGGAGCTGAGCTGCAGGGCAGCAGGGCCCTGGCTAGCTCCTACAGGCAGGACTGTGCGGACTCTCAGCCGCCCCCCCCTCCCCCTCCCGCCCCCCTTACCCGGGTGAGGGGCCGAGCTTTCTCTCTCAGTCCCAGCTCTCCAGCGCCGGCAGCCTCTCTGCTTGCCTCTGGAGAGGCCTGTCGCTCAGCCCAACCCTGCAGACTCGCTGCCTTCGGGCAGTGGGCTCTGCCTCTGCTCCAGGGAGGGCAATGGCAGCGTGAGGGTCTCCTGGCCAAGCCCCCCAGACACTGCCTCCCCACTCTGGTCAGAGTGCTGTGCCTCTGCCTTTGTGCTGTGCAGGATTTATGCGAGAATCCTGGCTGATCCCTAGCAGCATATGGTCCCCTGAGCACTGCTGGGTGTGAGTCCACCTTCCCCCCCTCCCCCATATATCACAAAAAAAACAAAGTCCTGGTCACAGCTCTGTGTGCAAGTAACAGCTTTTGAGGCTCAGGCTAGACAATGACCCTCTTGGAAACCTTTTCAAAAACCCTCTTCAGGAAGCTGATCCACAAGGAGACGCCACAGTTCCCTCTGCGAATCTCATCGCCCCTCATCGATGACTCTGGGGACCCTGGAAGCCCCATACACAAATCTGTGTGTTCATGACCCCTTCATGGCCTGCTTCAGTTTCCCAGGGTCCTAGAGGCGGGTCTCGCACTGCACCAAGTTCACATGAGGAACTCCTTCGCACCCAGCATCTATTTCAGCTCATCTTAGAATTTTTTTTTTCTTTTTGGGTCTCACCCAGCGATGTTCAAGGGTTACTCCTGGTCCTGAGTAATTCTCAGGAATTACTCCTGGCAGTGCTTGGGGGACCATGTGGGATGCCGGGAATCAAACCCAGGTTGGCCACATGCAAGGCAAACGCCCTCCCCACTGTGCTATTGCTCCAGCCCCTCAGGCTCACCCTAAAAGTCACTTCTTTCTCCTGACTCTGCTCCTCTGAACCACAGTGACTTTCTCCCTGTGCCAAATATTCATTGTGTTTTGTGCTATTGTTGCAGGGACGATTTTAATTCTGTGACCAGATGTCAGATACCAAAGGGCAGAATGCTTGTTGATGGCGTCTGCCCTCAAAAGGGCAGAGAGTATTCTGCTTCATGTGGATGAGCAGCTGCCCAGACGAGAGTCTACTGGAAGTGGCCTCACACCTTCTAGGAAGAAGCCCAGCAGTCAGGCTCTGTTGGGGCAGCAGTGGCAGAAAGGTTCCTGAGTTTGTGGATGGAGGACAAGGAGCAGTAACACGTTGTATATTGTTAGCAAGTTGGCCAGCCCACCCCTCACAGAACACACGTCTTACACTCACCTCAGAGGCCACACGCCTCATACTCACCTCAGTAGGCCACACGCCTGACACTCACCTCAGAGGCCACATGCCTCACACTCACCTCAGAGGCCCCTCACCTCACACTCACCTCAGAGACCCCTCACCTCACACTCACCTCAGAGGCCCCTCGCCTCATACTCACCTCAGTAGGCCACACGCCTGACACGCACCTCAGAGGCCACATGCCTCACACTCACCTCAGAGGCCCCTCGCCTCACACTCACCTCAGAGGCCCCTCGCCTCACACTCACCTCAGAGGCCCCTCGCCTCACACTCACCTCAGAGGCCCCTCGCCTCACACTCACCTCAGAGGCCCCTCGCCTCATACTCACCTCAGTAGGCCACACGCCTGACACTCACCTCAGAGGCCACATGCCTCACACTCACCTCAGAGGCCCCTCGCCTCACACTCACATCAGAGACCACACGCCTCACACTCACCTTGGTAGGCCATATGCCTCACACTCACCTTGGTAAGCCACACGCCCGACACTCACCTCAGAGGCCCACACCTCACACTCACCTCAGAGGCCACATGCCTCACACTCACCTCAGAGGCCCCTTGCCTCACTCACCTCAGAGACCACACGCCTCACACTCACCTTGGTAGGCCACACGCCTCACACTCACCTTGGTAAGCCACACGCCCGACACTCACCTCAGAGGCCCACACCTCACACTCACCTCAGAGGCCACATGCCTCACACTCACCTCAGAGGCCCCTCACCTCACAATCACCTCAGAGACCCCTCGCCTCACACTCACCTCAGAGGCCCCTCACCTCACACTCTCTCCAATCTGTTTCTCACATCCAGTCACCAAACACTCGCCTCACAGATGACACACTTCACACTCCCCTCACAGACTGCACACTTCTCAGCCCACTTCACAGGACTACCTTAGGTTGTGGCTATCCCATGCCTGGGCTTGTCCGACTGGCCTTCCCACCAGTTAAAGGTCAGGACCAGGGTGCACCGTGGTTAGAATTTGACATAACTTTACCATGGTAAGTTCTGCCTTTCTCGTGCCCCACCCCTTTTGCTTCTGTGAGTTTAACGGATGCTGGACTTTCTCCGTAGCCAGTCCCAGTCCAAGGCCTCTCCCGCTCTGCAAGTCCCGTGCAGAAGCTCCTGCAGTCTTGCTGCTGGTTTGCTGCCCAGCCACCTCCTACTGAGCTGGGAGCCCTGCTTTCATCCTCACCATGAAAGGCAGAAGGAGAAAGAAGCCTTGTGCATAGTCATTTTGGGGTAAAAAGACAGTTTGGCAATAACTTTCTGTAAGAAATGGTCTTTTCTTTGAACTCTGCAAATACCAGAGGCTGCCTGCAGTCACCCTGCTTCTCCCATGGGGGGACTTTCTCGTCCCGCTCTGCTCTGCTTGGACAGTTCTGTTCTCAGATCAGATGGAGAAAGGAGAGCAGAGAGCGTCCTGATTTCAGTGACTAACCCGACAAACAGGGTGCCTCTGAGCACTGGCCTGACCACCCGGAGATGTTGCCGGGCTGAGCTCCTGCCCCCAGGGCTATTTGTGTATCGACTTTTGGGGAGAATCACCTAAGCTCCTGTTCACCAAACAAGTTGAAGAACCGTGTATCATACATACAGTTAAGTTATAATTGGCTTCCTTTTGTATTTTGGTTTTGTTTTGTTTTTCTTTTTGGGTCACACCTGGCGATGCACAGGGGTTACTCCTGGCTCATACGCTCAGGAATTACTCCTGGAGGTGCTCGGGGGACCAGATGGGATGCTGGGAATCGAACCCGGGTCCATGGCGTGCAAGGCAAACACCCTACCTGCTTTGCAACCGCTCCAGCCCTCCTTTTGTATTTCGATTACTGATGACTGATTCTGAAAGAATTCAGATTTTAAAAATCCGGAACTCTATCATCTTTTTGTTTCAGGGTACCAAGCCAAAAGAATTTGAAAAATATGCTAATGGAGATAACAAGAGACGAAAACAGAGAAAGGAGAAAATGAAGACAAGAGCTTCAGGCGCAGAGAGGGAAAAAGAAAGGGGTGGGATAAATTGAGAAAGGAAGAAAGGTAGAACGTGGAAAAATGTTCTCAATGAAATTTAATAATAGAGTTATCTTTGGGTGACTCAGTTTTGTAATATTCCAAAATTAAAAAAAAAAAACTTGCCAAGAACAAACAAGGCCCTAATGAATGACTCTCCCAAGTGCTTATCAAGTCGGGTCCTGCATGGTTTGAAAAAACAGGCTGGAAGGAACTTGGCTCCAGACGCTGGCTGGGGCCCAGCATGATTTAATAGCTATAATTTGCATCTGAATGCAATTAACTGGGCCAGGACTCGGGGAGGTGGGCTGTGAGCCTGGTGCTTCTGGTTAAGTCTGAGCTAGTCCAGAGGGATTTCGGCTTTGAATTTCTCCGATGTGGAACTCAGGCCCCCCCCCGGGACCTTCACGCAGCCTAGATTCCCGGTCTGCTCCCGATCTAACAAAGACGCTTAACTTACCTATTTGCTTGTCCTCAGCAAAGGATAAAGCTGACTACTTCTCATGCTTCTCCTCAGAAGAATAACCTCACTGTGCAAGTGATTTAGGTTTCTTTTAAAAAAGAAATTCAAGCGTTTATAAAAAATTTTAAAATTATACATCCTTTATTTTTGTCACCTAGAAATAACGACACCATTATTAAAAATACAAGCATAAAGGACGACTTGTGTACATAGTTACATTTGATTTTCTAGTTATAGAATGAGACATTAAAAAAATCAGTATCCATGGGCTGGAGCGATAGCATGGTATAGTGGGTAGGACGTTTGCCTTGCATGCG